GGCGGGGAGGGGACCCGGGTCCTGTCCTGGGGCCTTGGCTCGGGCTCTGCCAGGAAGCACAGCCCGCCCAGCCCACTGCGGCCTCTCCCCTCTTCCTTCTGGGGGCCGCCGCCAGGCCCAGTGGTGGGCGGTGGCAGGACGGTGGCTGAGCACAGCCTTTGTCTCCAGACCAGCCTGATGGCCAACTGCCAGGCGCCCCGCAGGCCCTGGAAGGCTTCCCACATGAGCACCGTCTTCATCTCGCTGCTCTGCTTCCCGTCCTTCCTGGGCGCTGCCATCTTCCTCTGCTACGCTGTCTGGCAGTGAGTGGGCTCCTGGCCTCGGGGGCGTGGGGATGGGGTCGCCCCCGGGTCTGGAGGGGCTGCCTGCAGGGACTGTGGATGGTGGCCACGGTTTGGGTGACGTGGGGCCTCCGCTGGGGCCGAGGAGTCGAGCCACCTGCCCTCTTCCCCAGGGTGAAGCCCTCGAGCATCTGCGGCCCCTTCCGGACCCTGGACACCATGTATGAGGCGGGCAAGGTGTGGGTGCGCCACCTGGAGAGGGCGGGCCCCAGGGTCTCCTGGCTGCCCTGGATCCACCGGTACCTGCTGGAAAATACCTTTCCCATCTACTTGGTGTCGGCCCTGCTGCTGTGAGTGTGGGGCTGCGGGCCGGGGTCCTAGCCTCTCCCCGCCGTGGGCTCCTGCGCGGGGCGCAGCCCGACCGCCCATCTCCCGCAGGGCCGTGATCTACCTCAACATCCAGGTGGTGAAGGGTCAGCGGAAGGTCATCTGCCTCCTCAAAGAGCAGATCAGCAACGTGAGTGCCCCTCCCGCCTCCCCCTGGGGGGCCACCGGCCGCTCACAGTCGGGCCCCTCCTCGCCTCCCCCGGACCCGGGTGTGGAAGGGGGCTGTTTGCCAGACAAATCACATCGATGGCAATGTGTAGTTTGTACTGAGAGGAGATGCAGCCGGCCTGCTCCTCTGCAGCTGGCCTGCCCCAGCGCCCCAGCAGCGCCCCTACGCCTGCTGAGAGGCAGCCCCGCCTGGCCCTGAGGGCTGTCCCCCCTCCCTGCTCAGTTACGGGGCGATCCTCCCCCCACCACCGTCACCTTGCAAACAAGTCACTGCCCCTTGGGCTGGGGTTTCCCCAGGTAGGAATGGCCTCTCACCCAGTCCCGTCCAGCAGCAGCGGGCCTCCCGTGAACACGCAGTGGGCACTGACCTCGTCCCCGGCACTCTGACATCACTGCCCCCACCGCTGTCTTTTCTTTTTTTTCACGTCCTTCGCAGTTTCTGACCTGTATACTTAACGCCTGAGCCCACTTGGGGCCAGCTGGTGCCTCCGTCCCCAGGCTGTCACGCCAGGGCTGGTGGCTGCCAGACACTCTGCATTGGAAAGGACTGGGGGGTCAGCTGTGGGGTGTCAGCTAAGGCAGGACAGGGCTGGGGTGCAGCTCACCTGGGACCCTCACCACTGGCTAATTGATGCAGGGGCCCCAGGCTGGGTCTTTACCAGCGGGAGGATCCCTTGGGGAAAGCTCTCACTTTTTCTGGGGTTCTAATTAACACAGTACAACTTAACCCATCATCTCGCCTTTCACAAACAGGGGACAGGGCCCAGGCTGGGTGGGCATTTTGGCTGAGGTGGTCGCCTGCCACAGCTGCTGGAAGTGGAATCTTGCTAACTGGCTCTTGCTCCACTGCATAGAGCTTTGGGGCCCGCAGATGCCAGAGGGGGCTGGGGGGGGAGGTGGGGGGAGGCGTCGGGTGGACAGCAGTGTTGGGAGGGACCAGCTCCACCCCCCACTTCTCTGGGGGCTGAAGGGCCATTCCCCTGTGGCCCTTGCTGCAGGCAGTGTCCTCCCGAGGCCGAGCCCTGCCCTAGTTCTGTCTCTGGGGCTGCAGGTCTGAGCTCAGCCCGCGCCTGAAGCATCTTTTCCCAGGCCTGGGCAGGCCGTCTTACTCAGGCACACAGCCCTGTCCGTTATACTTCCATGGGGAGGAGACATGGGGAGGTCGCTTAAGGAAGTCCCCGTGTAATTGTAAGTTCCTTAAAAATGGAAGCGGGGAGCCAGTGTCAGAGGAAGACTTGACTGGCCATCGCTGGTCTTGCAGATGGAAGGAGGCTGTGCGCCAAGGGGTGTGGCAAATTCAGAAGCCGGAAAAGGCAAGGGAAGATTCTTCCTAGAGCCTCTGGAAGGAATCAGCCCTACTGACAACTTGATTCTAGCCCAGTGAGACCCGTTTTGGTCTTCTGACCTCCAGAACTTATGGATGATGAATTCATGTTGTTTTGGTCCCTAAGCTTTGTAATTGGTTGGAGCAGCAGCAGAAAACGAACACAGCCCTGTGACAGACGTTTGTCCTCTTTTAGAGGGTGACTCTGAGGTCAGAGAGGAGGTAATGTGCTCAAGGCAGACTCAGTAAGTGGCAGGGCCAGTTTAAAATTGAGTCAGGCTGGCTTTGCTGCCTTCACTGTGTGGCCGATCACATTTCCCTTTCACTGTGGCCACTAGGAAGCTTAGATGTACATTACATCTGCTCACTGCCTGGCTCTTGGTTTTACTTTCTCCTCGTTTGGTGGCTCATTCCCCTTCTTTAAACTTTTTGTGCTTGTGATGTCAAATACTCTGTGAGCTACCCCAAGTGCGGTCTGGAACAGGGCAGTCCTGGACAGAAAGACAACTTCTGTTTTCTCAGCCTTTGTGTTCTGGCATTCCTAGGAGGGGGAAGACAAAATCTTCTTAATCAACAAGCTTCAGTCTGTCTACGAGAGAAAGGAGAGGAGCAGGTGAGGGGCGTTGGAGGGGTCGGGGCCCCTCTACCCCCGGGACATGGAGACACCGTGGAGCTGGGGGGTGGGGAGGGAAGTCCCTGCCTGCTCTCCCCGCCGTGTGTGGGGCGTTTGGGGAAGGAGAGAGAGGTAACGTTTGGTGAGGAAGGAAGAAAAGGACATGAAGAACTGTGTGCAGGTGGCGGGGTGGAGCCAGGTCTCTCATGTCCTTCCCTGCCCCTCTCTGCGGCTCTCTCTGTGTCCTCTTTGCTCCCCCATCTTGATGAGTCTGGGGGTCAGCCTCGCTGGCCTTCTCCTCAGGCTCTGCCCCTGTTTTTCCAATGGGGTGAATGCACCCTAAGAAAATGCTGCAGTGGGGCTGCTCCAGGTCTGCGCTTCCCACCTGTTCCCTGTGGCTAAGCCCAGAGAAAGGGAGATGAATTCAGACACCCTCCTGAATGCACACAGCCCTCCTCGACCCCTGACGTGGCCAGGCTGGCGGCTGAGGTCTGCAGGCCGAGGCTCCCGGGGGCTCCCCTCCCCAGAGACATGCCCCGGGCAGCAGGAACCCACCTTGCGCGCCTGACAAGACCCTTCCCCTCCAACAAAGCCCTCTGCCAGACCCTGGCATGTCTCTCCCGAGCCTTTACCCGGGGAGGCCTGGACGCAGCTCCTGAGGAAGGACGGGCTGCCTGAGGCCCCTGGCCCCTCGCTGACTTCCCTTTCCGGCAGGGCTGGTAGAACTGAGGAGGCTGCGATGCCCCCAGCCCTGTTCACAGACGACGGGGACGCCTGGTAGGACAGCGCTGGGCCAGCAGCCCCGCACCTGCTCACCTGCGCTCACACAGCCCTGCGGGCACAGATGCCGACCAGCCGGAGGGTGGGGGTGCTGCAGCCCACCTTAGCGGGAGCACCCAGCGGACCCTGCCCCACCCGGGACTCTATTTATTCTGATTAAACATGGTTTGCAGAATGGGCTTGTCTCTCGGGAGGCTGTGCTCCTACCCAGGCCGCCCAGCTGCAGGCACCTACGGCCGTGCCCCCGGGCCCACAGCCCACCTCCTGCTGCCCCAGGGATGACTTCCAGGTCGAGGTCATGGGAACCTTGGCCTCCTGCACCGGCAGCCCCTTCAGCTTCTCCTCCTGGTTCAAGGCTCCTCTCTCCGCCTGGCCAGGGTCCTGTGGCCTCACCAGATGGACCAGATGGTACCAGGTACCCTCCCGACATGGGGTTCCTGATAAAACAGGCGGTGGGGCTTCGGTGCTGGGTGCAGGGCGCCCTCTGCCGGCCCAGCCCCGGATGGCCGAGATGGACGGCACCGCAGCTTCAGACGCTGCCCCTCCAGCCTGCGCACAACTACGGGCGCGTGTCAAGGGTGATAAATTGATGCTCTAGTGGCTCTTGGTGGTGGGGTGGAGAGCCAGTGTAGGGAGGGACTGGGGTGGGTCATTGGCTAATGAGCCATGGGGAGAGGAGCCTGCAGACAAGAGGCCGACCAGTTCCCAGGCCTGTGGCAGGAGTGACTGGTGTGGGGTGACCTCCGGTCCTACCAGCCTGAGTCTGAGGAGCCTGGGGGATGCTGAGAACCCTAGGGTGCAGAGAGGAGGGGACTAGGCTGTCACAGCCTCGGTGCCCACTGACTGCAGGAGCCAGGGCAGCGGCCCCAGTGGGAGACAAGCTGAGAGTGGAGACAGGCCCCCTGCCCTCGTCCCAGAGGGGGACCTGGGAGAGCAAAGCCTGGCCGAGTGGCCGTGTCAGGCCCACGGGGAGCTGCCACTGCCGTTAGCAGTGCCCGCAGCTGGGCCCACCCCAGCCCCAAATGGCCCTCGTCTGAGGATGGTCCCACGGGGGTGCTCCGGTGTTCTGCAGACTCGGCCCCAGGGCCTCCCCAGCGTCAACCAGACCTCCCCCAGGTGCCCTTGATGTCCCGGCAGGTCAGGATTCCTGGGCTGGCTGTGGCCGACCCAGCCTGGCGGTGCTTAGGGACTCTGCGAGGAGCTGGCCTGACCTGGTGGTATGAGCGCTGCTGGGTGAAGCTGGGTGGGGAGACCAACCTGGGCTCTTCAGGGCCCCCCTCCCGCAATGCCTGCCTCTGCATGGAAGGCACGGACCAACCGCGTCCAGTCTGACCCGCGTTACCATCCGTCACGATCTACCGGGCCCCCTTCACCTGCCTTGCGACAACTGCGAGGTCAGGACACACTGCTTAGGACGAACAGGTGAAGGGTGTTTTGCAGACACCTTGCGCAGCGGTGAGTTGGTATCCCTGGCCTTTGACTCAGGTGCTCATCGAGGTGTCGCTGTGAGGGCGTTTTGTAGGTGTGTTCAACACTCACAGTCAGTTGACCTCAAGGAGATTATCCCCACTAATGTGTGTGGGCCTCGGCCAATCAACTGAAAGACCTTAAAAGCAAAACTGAGGTTCTCCAAAGAAATTCTGCCCAGGGCTGCAGCCAGCCCTCTCGACACACAGCTATCACCTGTCCACGCTGTTCCTGATACATCCTGGCCTTGAGGTCCTCTGGCTGGAACATTCCGCGAGGGAGCCCATGTCGGGCTGTGGAGTCAGGAGGGCCCAGGAGTTGACCTTACTAGCTCGCGGCCTTGGGTGTGTTCTGTAACCTCTCCCGGCCCCGTTCCTCACCTCACAGGGCTGTTGAACAACGGACAGTCCTACGTAGTGCTTAGCACCGGGCCTGGCACGCAGTAGTTTTGCTATTTAAAAAATAAAAGCAAAAAGCTAGCTACAACTGCCAAACAAGACCAGCTGACTCTTGGAAACTGCTATTCTGACATTTTTTAGCAGTGTTTCCGCTGTGAAACCCGATGCAAAGCTGATAAGTTAACTGCATGTTTCCACCATGATTCCCGTGTAGCTTTTTCTTGATTCAGCCCAGATGTTCTCTTCCTGCAAGGAACCTTCTTGAGATGCCTCCCCGTCTCCGTCTTCCCTCTTTTCCGTGAATCTGTGCCTTGCTCCTCAGCGCCCGGGGTCTCACCTGCCGTCACTGAATCTGCTCGCCCTGGCACCTCTCCGGCCTCTCCTGTCTGTTCCACAGTCCTTTCCCTGCAAACCACACTGCTACCCACGGAGCACCCTGCCTTCTCCTTCGCCCACGGCCTGGTCAGAATGATCAAAAAGAAGTTCAGCTCCGAGCCTGGACTTTTTCGTGATTCAGACACCAGGCCGTCCCGACTCCAGGAGGGAGGCAGTCACTCCGCTCACGCCGTGCTCCCCACCTATCCCCTGCTTTCCCCCGGGGCTGTGACTCCTCCATGAACGTCATCCTCTGGACATTGCTGAGGCCCTGAACTTGCTCTCGGGAAGCAGCGCTGGGACAGTCAGCTCCCCTGCAGTAACTCCGGACACACCGGCCCCAAGCGGACACTGGTGGCGGGCTTGGCTCCCAGCGCCACAGTCGCTCCCTCCAAGCTCACACTGGGATGTGGAGTCTGTGCTGATCATCCACGTTCTGAGTTTCATTCTTCCTTTAGCCTTTTGTTTCCTCTCTTGTTTATGACCCTTCAGGGATCTCTTCCTCAACCTTCTGAAGAGGTTGGTCAGAGCTGGAAGCTCACCAACCGGGGCCCCGTCTTCCCGGTAAGACGCTGACTCGACCCTACGAGTGGAGAGAGAAAAGACACTCATTGTGCTGGTCTCCGAGCAAGGTCACAAGGGACAGTCCTGACGGGACAGAAGCACTGGTGCTGGACTTACTGACGGTCACGGTAAGCCTCCCAGGGGCGGACCTGAGTCAGCAGACCCGGTGTTCCGCTCTCTCACTGCCGGCCTGCTTGCCGCGGGGGAGGGCGCCGCTCTCTGTACGCGCCGCCCTGCCCGCCGC